GCAGCACAGACAGCGCTATGGCAGCACAGACAGCTATGGCAGCACAGACAGCTATGGCAGCACAGAGAAATGGCAGCACAGACAGAGCAATGGCAGCACAGACAGCTATGGCAGCACAGACAGCTATGGCAGCACAGACAGCTATGGCAGCACAGACAGCTATGGCAGCACAGACAGCTATGGCAGCACAGACAGCTATGGCAACACAGACAGCTATGGCAGCACAGACAGCTATGGCAGCACAGACAGCGCTTTATGGCAGCACAGACAGCTATGGCAGCACAGATATTATGGCAGCACAGAGCAAATGGCAGCACAGACATAGAGCAATGGCAGCACAGACATCTATGGCAGCACAGATAGCTATGGCAGCACAGACAAAGCATGGCAGCACAGACAGCGCTATGGCAGCACAGACAGCTGCGGTGCGCACAGACAGCTAAGTGCACAGACAGCGCTTATATGGCAGCACAGACAGCGCTATGGCAGCACAGACAGCTTATGTAGCGGCAGGCCAGACAGCGCGGCAGCACAGACAGCGCTATGCAGCAGCACAGATAGCTTTGGCAGCACAGACAGCTTATGGCAGCACAGACAGCTATGGCAGCACAGACAGAGCTATGGCAGCACAGACAGCTATGGCAGCACAGACAGCTATGGCAGCAGACAGAGCTATGGCAGCAGACAGGCTATGGCAGCAGACAGAGCTATGGCAGCACAGAGCTATGGCAGCACAGAGCAATGGACAGAGCTATGGCAGCACAGAGCTATGGCAGCACAGACAGCTATGGCAGCACAGACAGCTATGGCAGCACAGACAGCTATGGCAGCACAGACAGCTATGCAGCACAGACAGCTATGGACAGACAGCTATGGCAGCACAGACAGCTATGGCAGCAGGCTATGGCAACACAGACAGCTATGGCAGCACAGACAGCTATGGCAGCACAGACAGCGCTTATGGCAGCACAGACAGAGCTATGGCAGCACAGACAGCGCTATGGCAGCACAGACAGCTATGGTGGCAGACAGAGCTATGGCAGGTCCTATAGAGGGGAATGACATTCAGTGCCTGTCACTGCCTGATCTAAAGGGTTCTAAATTAGAATGTCACTGCAGAACGTTGGGCATTGCAGAGAGGCCGGATACAGGCTGTCATTAACCCCTTACTGTCTGACAGGATTCCCTTTATACCATGCACTGACCCCCCCCTGACCCCACTCACAGTGTAACTCTCCACCGGCTCAGAGCCCACCACTCGGACCCCCCGGGGTCTCTCATTCTCTCCCGAGTCAGACAGTCCGTCCATGGCTCCTGCAATCCTCCTAATCCGCCATCTTTGTTTACCACCAGCAACTTTCAATCAACTTTATTAACACGGACAGAGACACTGCCTATACTGTGTGAGAGGATCAGAGACTGTGCTTATACTGTGTGAGAGGAATAGAGACTGTGCTTATACTGTGTGAGAGGAATAGAGACAGTGCTTATACTGTGTGAGAGGATCAGAGACTGTGCTTATACTGTGTGAGAGGAATAGAGACTGCGCTTATACTGTGTGAGAGGATAAGAGACTGCGCTTATACTGTGTGAGAGGAACAGAGACTGCGCTTATACTGTGTGAGAGGAATAGAGACTGTGCTTATACTGTGTGAGAGGAATAGAGACTGTGCTTATACTGTGTGAGAGGATCAGAGACTGTGCTTATACCGTGTGAGAGGAATAGAGACTGTGCTTATACCGTGTGAGAGGAATAGAGACTGTGCTTATACCGTATGAGAGGAATAGAGACTGTGCTTATACTGTGTGAGAGGATCAGAGACTGTGCTTATACTGTGTGAGAGGAATAGAGACTGTGCTTATACTGTGTGAGAGGAATAGAGACTGTGCTTATACTGTGTGAGAGGAATAGAGACTTTGCTTATACTGTGTGAGAGGAATAGAGACAGTGCTTATACTGTGTGAGAGGATCAGAGACTGCGCTTATACTGTGTGAGAGGATCAGAGACTGTGCTTATACTGTGTGAGAGGAATAGAGACAGTGCTTATACTGTGTGAGAGGAATAGAGACTGTGCTTATACTGTGTGAGAGGAATAGAGACAGTGCTTATACTGTGTGAGAGGAATAGAGACTGTGCTTATACTGTGTGAGAGGAATAGAGACTGTGCTTATACCGTGTGAGAGGAATAGAGGCTGTGCTTATACTGTGTGAGAGGAATAGAGCCTGTGTTTATACTGTGTGAGAGGAATAGAGACAGTGCTTATAGTGTGTGAGAGGAATAGAGACTGTGCTTATACTGTGTGAGAGGATCAGAGACTGGGCTTATACTGTGTGA